GTCAGCCTTGTGAACGGTGCATTTATTATACATCTACTGTAGTTGTAGCCATTCACTGTTCACTGTGCTGGAAAAAAAACTAACAGGCCAATTTGCACAGAAATTCAGTCTAAAGAAAATGACTGTCAGTGCACAGCGGGCTACCCGGGGAGAAAAGTACTGCAGCAGAAATGAATCTCTTTGAAACTGCCTACATGGGTTGGACAGAACTTAAATGCATGCATTATTTATTAAAACAAATATTTTTACCTTTAGCTCAGAGTCTCCACTTTTGTCCAATCATGCCGCTTGACGAATTTCAGAAATAATATCTCTCTGCTGCCTAAGTTTCAAATACAGGATCGCTTTCTCGTAAAGGGCATTTTGGATAAATAGCCATTTATTACCCTTACTACTATCGTAACATTTAACGCTGTGTTGCATTTTCAAATGATTAGCATATGTTTTACTGGATTAAAAGCATGCATGAATCATTGGCGCTACATACAGCTTACGGTGGTTCAGAAATGCAAAAAAATGCAAATCAGCACCAGTGGACCCTCCGGGATAGTTTGTGTGTTTGTGGAACATTTCAGTTGGCACTAAGTAATATTAGCATAATCAGTTTTCCATGATAACAGCATTTATTTGGGATCACCAAAGTGGACAGCTTTCATCCTCTGGGAGCCCCATAATGTGCATTCACATATTTTAATAGCAGTCTGTCCAGTAGTTACTGAAATAACTGGCAAAATCAACTGGCAGATGAATAATGCAGACCATAGAGCCAGAAAAAAGCTATTGTTTTGGTATTAAACTACACAGAAGAGTAAGGCACTGAAGCAGGTTTACAACTTACATGCCCAAGGTGCCAGAAAAAGGCTGTTATAATTGGTATGAACAAGAAAATAGAACAGAAAGTCATCCGTATAGCAAAGAGTTTATATTTCTGCTGAAGCAAGACCCCAACACCTGTATTTTGTGTGGACAGATGTTTGACTTGTGTCATAAAAGGAATCGAGCCCCCCGAGGCTAATTCGTCTTTAGAGAACTGGGCTCATAGATTGGTGATAGCTTGGCTGCCATTGTCTCATGACCCTCACCTTCGCACGTGGTGTCCATGACAAGGTCCCCTGTCACTTTTCATCTCACCCTTCAGTCCTGTTTTGAAAACCAGAAAAAAGCCCTGCTGCAGCGCTCTGGCACTTTTCATTGCACAGGTAGGACACAACATGTTTGAGCTTGTGAGCTGGCAGCTGCCCCCAGTTTTCATATTGCAAGGGCTGGTGAAAGTTGTTGGACCTCAACCAGACGGACCAGTGAACCAAAATAATGAGCTGAAAGTGGCTGAAGGCTGCAGAGAGCTGCAAACTGTGTCGTTACTTGCAGTGGTGTTGGCAACCAAAGTAATTCTTTCACCTTACAGGGAGTCACTTGGATCAGAGTTCATATTAGCAATGTCACTCGATGGAGATTGAAGTTTTTCACAGGCTTTATTTGTTCCCTGATAATGGGCCTGACAGAGCTTGTTTTTTTGTGCTGAGTTCATGTGCATTGCTTTTCACTATCAGCAGCAAATTGAACTGCCTTCATAGAAGAATGGTATGTGTGTTGTTGATATATGAAGTATTCACACATGCAGATTTATAGCTGCCTTACACTTCTGAATTTTGTTATACTGGTTACATAATAATGGAGCTAAATGCCCTCTTTATAATTTGCATGTGTGAGGAAAAGTCATGAGAAGACTGATCCAGCGTGCAAGATTTAGCTGAAAGGGATCTATTGGCAGAAATAAATAAATATATAATAATCCTAGTGATGTTTTCACTAGTGTGTTTCATCTAAATTGTACAAATTGTTGTTTTCTTTACCCTAGAATGGGCCCTTTATATTTAAATACTTTATATTTACATCAGGATCTGGTCCTCTCTACGGAGGCCGCCATGTTTTTTATAGTAGCCAAGACTCGACAAACTTAACACTTTTAAAAATTGTTACGACAGCTGAAGGCTAACGCAGGATTTCTTTCATGTTTGGGAGGGGTGAGGGGTACTCAGCTGCAAAATGCAACTTCACCACTAGATGTCACTAAATCTTTAACACAGAACCTTTAAGAAAGAACATCACTACTTTGACTTTGTACACACCTTTGTGACCACCTACTTTTCAGTTTCATAAAAACCTTTATAGAAAATATACAACATTAAAACCAAAACTGGTCCAAATGGCTGTGCAACATTTAATACCTAAATACTGTAATGTTCACGACCAAATCTGGAGGCTGCAAGGTCGACTTTGTGAGAAATACATGTAATAAAATGTGTTTCTAAATAGGGAACATATATCGATAAATAAAGAATGACTTAAAGGGAATATTGCTGCTTACTGAACCACTTAACAGGTTCCTCTGTGCGGTTATATAGAGGAGTGTGAAGTGTGACGTCTGAAGAGCACCAGCACAGCAGCTCAATGCCTGACTGGTGCGGAATTATCTCCTGAGGCATAACAGACATGTTGGTATTGATTAGGTAATTTTCCCTCAGTATCTGTCTGCAGCTCTATATCCAGTTTCCACACTTCAAAGTAGTAATACACTGGTGTTGTTTGTGCGATTACATAACTGAAAGACAGTAAATTGTTCTTCTCTGCCTTAACGTGAATTCCACTAAAACATTTACAGCTACAGAGACGTTCAGATGTGATACTGTACGACTTCTTCTTTAACCATTCAGCAATTTGACACTTTAAACATCACATAAAGGACAAGTAGTTTCAGTCACTGTGACATTCTCAGATCATATAAATGCAATATGTGGTCTGGTCTGATTTTTTTTTCCTTTTTATGGACCTACTTGTCTTTTGCTGTTAAGTCAATACAGTGTTGAGCAGAAGGTCTAGCCGAAGAATCTTAACAGAACCTTCAAGTAGAGAGTTTAGAGTCCTCTGCATAAACTAGCACCACTTGTTTGTTAATCCCATTTTTGAGTTTGAACTTTTCCCTGTTTGTATCATGGAAGTGTCTCTTTTAATTAAGTTAATTCTGTGACAGGAGGAAATTCCACAAAAATGCAGTTTTGACCCACATTTGACGTGTCACTTCATCTTCAGTAAGGGAAAATGGTTATTGTTTGACTGACACTGCTTAAAGGCCCATGAGAACAACTGTAAGACACACGTTTACATACAAGTCTCCAATAATGTTGAAAAAGTCCTGCACTGATTTAGAATTGTCATCTCATATTTCAACATTGTTTGACATTTTGACAGTAAAAGAAAAGAAAAAAATAATCAGAGCAATAGTCTCATAGTTTTTAATTCATTGTCCACTTTCAGTATCTAGTGCCTATATTATCCATAATGCATTATTATATACCAGTTGGTTACAGCAGGCTAAAATGCAACCAGTACATCCGACTCTCTCCCATCAGCCCTCGTCTAAGTCTTCCTGACAACTGCTAGAAGGCAACATTTCTGTTACTCGCTAACTTCTGACTATCACTTGGTCCGAATGAAATGATTGGTCATCTTTGTAACAGTCCTGAAAGGGCCACAAACACTATTTTTTGGTCTATTTTGTTGAGTTCTCTCTTTAATGACATAAACTTATTTTGTGATCACTATAAATTTAAAGACAATATAAAAACATTTGTAACACTAGCATATTCCTCTGGTTTTAGTGTTTGGTCAATCAGAAATTAATATTTAACCATCCTATACCTTTGTATTTGTGACAAATCAGGTTGTAGTTGAGCAGCGGAAATCATGTGAGTTTTGGTCATTAACTAAACATTGCAGCTCTGCATGCATTATAATTTCCAGTCTACAGTTGTTAAATGCATCTTAGTGGCAGAGCTGTGTTCCCCCCATGAGGCTAGAAGGCTGTTAAAGTTATTTCCCTCTAGTGCCATTGTTGAAAGAATTTCATTTTCACTCTGTATTATTTCTTCTTAGAGGTGTTTTTAATTAAAGCTTTTCTGAGTTAGAGTCTGCTCAAAGGGTAATGTCACAGTCTGTGCTTGACTTACTGTTACTTACGCTTGACTGTTCATACATTCGTTACTCAAACTGGAGCTTTTATCCTAAGTTTTCTGCATCTCCCTTAACATTGATTATTTATAAGAGCTTAAGGTTTGTGGATGCTGCGGTTTGCTTTGTATGTCCGTGTGGTTGTGTGTGTGTGTGTGTGTGTGTGTGTGTGTGTCCAGGTTCACATAAACGCTGTGATTGCGACTCATGCTTCATTGCAGCCATTCGTCACATCATTGTTTTACTTAGAAACCCTTTGTGAAGTTGATATTGTTCGGGGATTTGGAGACCATTGACACAATTGGCCAAAGCCTAATGAGCGTTTCTCTACATCCTGCACCCTGATGACCAGCTTGCAGCCATGAAAGATGCAAAAAAAAAAAAGCTATTTTCCTTTGCTGAAAATTATGTTTATTTCATTCATAAATGGATGAAGCTCTGTCACAGTTTAAACAAAGTTCTGGATAGGCAAACAGATTTACAGACAAATCAACTGTCAGTAAATGCATTTTAAAATCATTTCAAAAACTTGATTTATCTTGCACATTTACTAAGGAGAAGCAGGTAAGGGGACAGTTGAAGGAGAAAAATGTCCTCTTGGGGAAACTCGTAGTGCATCAATCATAACGGTCTTAAGAGAACAGATTCTCTTTCGGAAATTTAAATGAAATCTGAGGCCGTTGTCTGTCATTAATTTTCAAGCAGGCAAGTTGAGAACAAATGAACCTTAAATTTCAAAAGTGATGTATAGAAATCCTTTGGGGTGATGGTGAAGGTCACAAAGAGCAGGGAGAAGTTTGAGTACAAAATCCTGCTTAAGAGCATTGACAGTGTGCAGGAGAGTGGAACTCCACCGGGCAAGAACCTAATTCAGAGTAATCCCATTCTGTGAGGAGGAAGCGAATCACAAAACTTCTCTGCAGAGGCTTCTGCTGGTCACTTGGGACACAGGCTAATGGCTGTCAAACAGCACCAGGCTGTTGTGAAGAGATCTACACCTGCTGGATTTTCCTGGGCAGCCATTTGAAGAGAGTCTTGCACAGCTTTTTGCTTTTCACTCTTGACTTTGTTAAGTTCTTAATGATGAGTTTTCTGAGCAGGCTGAAGTTCAGATGCGGGGACAGATGCATGGAGAAGGCATTATTTCCACCCGCAGAACGATTCAGAACCTCCATGAAGCGTCTCTCCTGCTGCCTGAAGTCGTACTCCACACTGGACACAAAAGACAAGCAACTCAAAATGACTAAAACCACCCGAATAGCATCAGAAATAACATAAGAAGTGATCAAAAGCTGCTTTCAGACATGCACTGAGTCTCCTGAAATCCAAAGGGGTGATAGGTGAGAACACAAATGTCCAAATCAGTTCCTGTGGACATTTTCTGGAGGTTCTCCTGCCAACCCAGAGGAAAAACCTCTGGATTATGTCCGAGCCCATGTGAGAATACAGCAGATGATTATCTGGAGGATTCACTCCGAGGGAGGGCGTTGATGACATTTCTAACACACCAGGGCACAAAACTGAGGTTCAAGGGTTTATGGTGATATGCACCGACGCTGATGTCAATATGCTGTAATCAACATTAAGGTACGTTAAGTACTGCCTCCTATGTGCTGCGCAACCCCTCATCTGAAGGCTCCAGAGATATCTGTGTTGTTGTGAACCGGAGAATTTTCTTCTTGATACGTGAAAGGCGAATTCCGGAGTTAGGTCAGACCCCACTGTGCGAACATTCCGCGGAGTTCATGTCTCAAAAACAACTAAATTTAGCTCTTGCCAAAGAATGCAAATCAATTTTTCATTGTGTGAGGTCTGCATTTTACCAGTTCATTTTTCTTAACAGCAAAGGGCTTTTTTGATAAATCCCACACATCACTGTAAACTGTGTCGCTACACTTCCCTTTGCTTTGTGTGGTACCACTCAAACTGTGGGAAGCTCTGTGCTTGTCAGATTTCCAAGTGGTTGATTGGTTTGGGCAGAAAGACATTCCCCCAGCAGGGTATCCTTTTTCTCTGAAGGTAAACGTCTTTTATTCATCCATTTGGCCTTTAAGGATCAGATGCCAACACACACACACACACACACACTCACCAGTCAGCAAATCAACTTACGCAACATCTTTTTGTCATGCAAAAGCGGTTTTGAAAATAAGTGGATCAAGGGGGAATGTTCTGAATATTTCAAGATAAACACGATTTTAGGTTTTCCTTTGTGGAGCATGAGGCTTTTTTCCCCTCCCAAAAGATGATGAGAAGACTTTTAGATTTCCTGGCCTCTTTTAGCCTCCTTTCTACGTACACTATTGTTGAGATTTTTATTTTTCTGTTGCCTCCAACTGATGCAACATTTCATCTAATGGGTGCAAACCTAGACCAAAGGCAGCATGCTAAGCTTCAATACACTACTTCTTTAACTAACTTGAAAAACATTTTTTTTTTCTCTGACCACCATTGGAAAATGTGTCTATCGTCATTTAATTAAATGAAAATGTCATTTTTCTTTCCTTTTTTGTTCTTAAAAGGTGGATTTTAAGTGATATCTTCCCTTAAATTGCTTCAGGAAGTGAAAATATGAAAATGCAAAATCTTTCATTTGAAGATACTCCTGAGCTCTTTCAGCTCACTCCATCTGCTTAAATATTTTACATGAAATCTAACCACCTTGTCTGCAAACATACGCTGAATCCATGATACAGGGTGCGTAGGCAGAACCTATTCCTTTTTGCTTGCCTGAATTTTAGAAAAGTCCTCCATAATCTCCATAAATCTGCCGTGTGAATGGATTGAGTCACATGCAGTTAAGTGCTTCAATTTGACAGCTGTTCCAAAAGATTTATGGTTTGCTCAGAGAGCAAAATGTAATCTCCCTATGTATTCTGAGCAAGAAACAAATGAGCAGCGCACAGCTTTTCATTTGGTGAGTTGCCCAAACGGTAAGTCATTCATTTTCTGTGAAGTGAACTGAGCAGGCCGGTGAGAAGCTGCCTGCCAACTGAAATGGCAAGTTAGCCTAACCTTGTTGTGTTTTCCTGAAACTGTAAATCAAATGTTGGATTTGTCCTTGAGTACACTGATCGTGATCCTGCAGCTGCGCATGTCACAATGTTTAATAGGACAAGCAATGTAGAAACAAGTCAGAAGAAACAGTGAAGTCTTAACAGATTTTCTGACTGTATTCAAATTGATTTTACGGTACATTTCTTTTTGTCCGAGTGAAGGGAAGAACCACCCAGTACCAATTATAAAATGTCTATCAAGTTTCAGGCTGAAAAATTAATTTCATTCTAATATTTTATTAATCTCCTCTCAGAAAATAGCTCTCATGGGAACGTTTTCAACCCAAACTAATTTTCAACTTTATCAAACGAAGCCTCCCCATAATCAACACCATATAATAGCTCAAGGTTATAACATATGATATATTCATATAATTTACATTCTGGAACCATAGTTTTGTTTTTGGGCAGGAGTTGAATTCTGGAGCTCCTCTGATCACTTACAGTTCAATGCTGTGCATAAAGACAAGACCCCCTAAACATCACTGTTATCTCACCTGTAGATTATACAAGCAGTCTTCTGGCAGGTCGAGAAGTTCTTCAGGTCCTTTCCAGTTTTGAAGCATCGCCGACTGAAATAAACAAAAGTAAATTGATGTGCGTAATGTAATTAACATCCAAAACACTCATTGCTCCAGATCCGCTGTTTGATATTCTCTCTCCGCTCATCCACTCTGTCTGCTCATCAGACTGTCGCTGATGGCAGTGATGAGCTATATAACAAGCATTATGTCAGACACCGGTCGCTTATCAGGAGTTGGTTATTCTGAAACATGACCGCAGAGGCAGTCACAACTTATTAGCGCATTACGCTGAATGAGAATGACTGATGGAGGCCCATTGCCAGGAGGCCTTTTTAATTCCTGTTATTTGTCCCAGAAGAGTTGCACAGCTAAATAAATCTGTCTGAGACATGCCCTGCTGAAAGGCCCAAGTAGGTTTCTGTCACACTGAGGTGCACGTCCACAAACCTGTTTGCAAACATGCAATGTTACAGGTTCACATCGTCACGCCACGAACCCTGACTTAAAGCATAATTATGGACCACAGAACCAGCTTTATAATGTCTCCACAGTGTCTTGGCCTTTCTATAGTATCTGTTTTGTCTTATGTCATAGTTTATGTAATGAACAGACTTTGTCTTATGAAGTTTATCCACATTGGTTGAACCAGTGTTAATGGTAGTTTAGTATCTTTATAAAGTCAACAAAATCACAGACAGTTTGCTGCATCTAAATGAATGAAACATAAACCATCAACTACATCTCCTGCAAATTTAGTTTTGTTCATTTTCAACCATTTTACAGCCACCAGATGCAGCACAGTTGTGGTGCACAGATTGCATATATTTATCCTCAGTGTACCAGATAGGATGATCAAATACCTGGAAGCATTTGCTCCCGTGATTTGTCACTTCAAGTTAATGTAGGTGTTAATATGGGGGAAAAAATATCCGCGCTAAGGTCTAAATGTCAAACTGGTCCTCACAATGTACAGCATAACCTGCGCACACACACAGACACACACAAAGACACACAACGCCTGCTCTTACCCACTGGTGGGAGTGTGGCATGTTTCCAGGTCATGGATAATGTTAAGCAGAGTAGTGATCCTGTCCTTGTTGGCTGCCAGGCTGGCCTCCACCGTCTCGAGCTTCTGCTGTAGGGCTGCTGATTTGCAGCACTGTGAGGATGGAGGCAGCAACATGGCTGCATCGGCCGGGTGGGAGTGAGCCAGGCTGGAGTCCACCGGGCAAGGCCGAGGGGGAGCAGGGCTCAAGTTTGAATCCGCTCCGGCGTTTGCCTCCGCCTCGCAAGACTGGGGGCGGGGATGGGATACCAAGTGCATTTTTGATGAATGCAATATGGAATTACATTCAGGGCCTGTCTGTGCACAAAGCTCTTTCTCACTTTTCAATGGGGCTGCTGCAGTGACAGGAAGACCTGCATGAGCTTGCAGAAGTAAGGATGTGTTGAGATTAGAGTTTCGGTGGACATGAGATGAGGGGTTGGGGTCTTCATGTCCTCTAGTGTTTGCCGTTGATGAGTTATTGAAGTTAGTTTGTGCTGTGACAGAATTAGAATGTGTCTGTTTATCTGCATGGGATTTTAGCTTTATATTTGCATGCCCGGCTGATACACCCAAGGCAAAGTGTTCTGCGTTTGAATCTGTCTCTTGGGCTGTTTTTACTGGTGGGACAGGAGCACAGCGTCCCTCATGTTCTGTTTTTGTGTATCCTTGATATTGCGCAACCCTTTGCTGTTCTGTGTTTATGCAGCCCTGCAGACAAATGCTGCTTGGCTTAATTAAGGAAATGTGATTCTGAAGCTTAGTGACCTGTGATAGATTTGAATTTTCATGGCGTTTTGACTCATGCGAGACAAATTCGTGGCTTAGATTACCACCGAATTCATCAGTATGTGATTCAGTATTGGGATTCATTATTGATACAGAATTGTGGGCGCTCACATCACTGCCTCTGTTATGTTTTTTTGACACATTCAGCGGCCGAGATAATAAGACCGGGGTTGTTTTGGACTTGTGTTCCTGATTGGAAACGCCACAGACAGCAGAGTTTTCATTGGCTGGAGTTGCATGACCGGGTTTATTTTTGCCTGATGCTTCGTTACGACATAGTCCTTCTTGTTTTGTGTCTGTTGATTGAAGCATAGTTGTGCTTGATACGCAGACGTTACTTTGGCTTTTTGTCAATGTCAGTGACGAGGAGCTGGCTGTAGAATGAGCACTTTTCAGACTGACCGAGGAGTTCTTGAGGGGAAAACTTTTAAATACAGTGTTGTGATGTGTAGATGGTAAACCAGGACCTGAAGGCAAATGAGGTCTTGAATGTAGGGGTCCAGTTGCACTTGCTGTAGTGTTAACTGATGCTGTATGTTCATGAATTGTAGGCTCAGAATTTGAGGACATATGATGAACTGGGTGAATTTGTCTCGCCTCAGATTTAGCGTCACGCTTAGTGGTTGTATGCCTAGTTTGGTGTGACTCAGCGTTATGATACAAAGTGCTCTGAGGCGTATGAGCGAAATGGGGACGTGCAGGTGGGCTAACGTTAACCTTTGACGATGGATTTTCTTGTGGTTTCTGAGCTGCATTGTGTGGAGTAGATGTCGGACTTGCAGCTCTATGTTGTACAGTTGTGTCTCCTTTGTGAATATTGTCTGATGCCTTGCTTGCTTTAGATAGGGTTGGACATTTCGGAGACATTTGCGGGCTATCAGTTGTATTTGTTGCTGCATTTACTCGTGTCCTGTGTGTTGATTGCAGCAGTTTAATTTCATCATTAGCAACTTTAGTAGGTGTGACTTTTGAGGACATCAGTGCAGTATTAAAGGTCATGCTTGTCGTGTGAGTGTTGGATGTGTTTCCAGATCCAGCCGCTGTAGTGTACGAGTGAGTAGGGGGCAACAGAGTCTTTTTAGGTGTAGCATGTACAGATACACAAACATTTTGTGGCACATTCCGTTGTATAGAGTTGTGTTGCGGCATCTTGATGAGCTTAGGATAAGTGTGTGAATGCGGGTCGTTTGGTTTGGTAGCCGTGGCCATCTGTGGAGTCAGCATGAGACTCGTCGGTCGGGGAATCTTACCGTCCTGTGAAGGTTTTGCAAAGGATTTCAAACTCGCGTCATCTTTTTTCATTTCTACAGTTGCTTTTGTGATGGTTTTAGCTTGTAAACTGGTTGTAGGTTGGATAGATTTTGTATCAGCCGCTGCATATGTACATGACAAAGGGACCAGATTGCCTCTAGAGTGCACTGGACATGCCAGATATGGTGTTTTTCGATACCGAAGTTCTTCGTTAAGAGATAATATTTGCGGATTGACTCTGTCTGTACTGTTGTCGGGGGTTTGATGCTGGGTTGCCTTGAGGTCTTTGTCTCCCTCAGTAGTTGAAAGCGTGGTAAGGGCTGACTTTAATGGGCAATCTTCAGCAGCAGGGCTTTTCTCCTCCAAAGTGGCAGCCCCTGTGGTTACAGATTGTCTCCCTCCGCAAAGGATGCATATTTTGGGTGGCATACCAAAATGTTGGGCAGCAGAAAACAGTGCTGTCCTTCCAGACTGCTCTGCATTATGACTTTGCACTCTGTTTTGGTCCCTTCCACGAGAGGTTGCACTGTTTAATGGATCTGCGTCATCATTATCAACGCTGATTCCACCGATTGCCTCTGAATCTACAACGCTGCCATTGGTGTAGCGGGTGGCTGATTTGATTTTAGGCCTGACATTGGTTGCATTCCCTGCAAAGTGCGGGTTCGTCTTGATTGCCCTGGCATAGCAATAAGTCCCACTACTGTTCCTGTGACTGCAGGCCACATCCTTAGAGGCCTCACCTCCAAGTGCTTTGAAAGTCACTTCTTTTTTTGTCTTGGATTCCCCACATTTCTGTTTTAAAATAGCCCTTTTCTCCTTGTAACTCTTTAGCAGTAATATCTCCTTGTACTCCGTTTCCCTGGTAATACAGTTGTTGGATGTTTGAGTAATTCTATTTGATGGCATGGAGAGCGTATCGGTTAGCAGTACACTGTGCTGGGTAGGTGGTCTGCTTTTCCCTGGGGACGTCTGAACACCAATGCTGGAATGAAATCCCCATGCTTGCAGCAGGGCCCCTCCAGTTCTGTCTCCTCCTGTTGTCTTCAAACCACGCACTCCAACCAGAGCGGGGACACCTAAAACTGGAACCGGGGTCGTCAGGTCTGCTGCTCGCCTCCCCATCCCTTGTCGGACTGACTCAAAAGTGGGATAATTTGAGAGAGCGACAGAGTTTCCACACCATTACATCCCTCTAGAAGTAAGAGAGGAACAAGTTTACAGTGAGAGGCATTTTGAGACGCTGCTGTGGAAGAAATGCATGAGTAAGCAGGACAAATTGAAACAATGCACAGGCCTACAATTGCTCTGCTTCAATAATACAGAATTAAAAGATAACTAGAGTTGTCAAAAATTGTTTGCTGAATTTCGAGAGTATTACGCTCTTTCAAACTTCTAATGTGACGGGGTAAGAAATGAGACTGGCAATATGTAGGTGCTGATGATAAGAGGAGGCTGTGGCTGTGAGAACAAGTTAGATGTGTTATTAGCATTTCAAACAAACTTCGCAGATCTCGTCTCGATGTCTGACAGCACACAGAATAATTTATTTGTGGAGTAAAATTCAACACATGGTTCCTGTGGTGAACTCTGTGGTGAACTCTCTCTCTCCTCTCTCATTGTGATGTCTGTCATACTGTAGCCAGCAGCCTCCACTCAGCTGTCCTCCACATTCAGCTCGCCTTGGAAGGAAGCCATAATGTATACACTGATGCTACAGTAGAGAGTTCATTTGGCTTTGTGGGCATTTAACTGGAACACAGAGGGTGTCAGTTTTGTGTGTGTGCGTGTGCGTGTGTGTGTGTGCGTGTGTGCATGCGTGTGCGCGTGCAGGAGGTCATTTTAATGATTTAAGTGACAGCATCTCAGCAGTTGACATCAGTGCGATAATGTGCGCATGTCTGGCATTTCATTACTGTCCAGCAAAATATCCAGTGTGAAAGTGAGTGAGTGTGTGGGTGTGTGTGCGTACTTTGATTTATGACAAAAATGTCCAGCAAAGCAAACACATT